TGGAAAAATGATTTCCTGGAGGTGCCACTTCGCCCCACCCTAGGGAGAGGGGGATACAGTCTCAAGGCCCAGCACTGGGCTGTAGGCATCTTTCCTTTTTCCTAAGGAGGCCTAAAGACTTACAATTTTGACCCAAATGCCTGACTGGGACGTCAAGCCCAGAGCAATTTCACTATACTGTTGAAATGTTCTGTGAAAGGTACACCCCCACAGACAACTTCCACAGACGGTAAGCAATTTGGCAGGTGATTGTTCCAGACCCAGAATTTGTTTCTCAACTCAGTGATGACGCGGTCTCCATATCTGGCCGGGCTGCAGTGCGTACGGAAGGATGCAGAGCATATGGAAATGGTGATGAACCTGGAATATGGCAATGCTGCTGTTTTTGTACCTTTTAAAGGCCATCTCCAGCGTTTTAAATGCCGTTTTTGGTGTTCTAGGGGCCCCTGTTTGGGGTTAAGAACTGAGAATGTAAACCAAAGGAAACCCAGAGTTAATTATTAGCCGACTGCCGAAGGAACAGAAGCAATGCCTGTCCACCTTTCAGATCTTAATCTTACTTTTTTGGCCAGAGGCACTTGCTTCTCCAGCAAAATCCCTCCTGGTGTGAATTCAGAGTGAACGTGGCTTCCCTCCGAGCTCCCCTCCAAGTGGACAATCGCCTTTTTTAAGACAGCTAAAAGCTCGCCAAATCATCACTATAAACAAAGCGTTAGGGGAGACACATGCCTCTTTTGCTTAGAAGGCTTCCTATTGGCAGACTCACAAAATCACGTGACTACTGGCCTCAGCTCAAGGAGTGTGTCCAAACCAACACCAAACGGCATTCTTTCTCTAATTTATTAATTTTTAAGGGGACTAGGAGGACAAACCATTTGATCAATCTGAAGGTGAGAGGTATCGTTTCCTCCGATGTTCTGATTAGGCTTCTCACATCCCTGAAGGGTTATCAGCTAATGCAAAAATGTGGTCAAAATGTGAAACTGCCCTTTTAGAGGCAGAAGGACGCTGGCTTCCAAAGGAGAGTCTGCCTCACATCTCTAGGTTCCCAGGGGCTGTGGTGACCTCAAGTCACCTAACATACAGACAACAGTTATCTTTTATGGATTGCAGCCAATGCTTCCCAATTTACTACCTGAAAATCTCGAATGTCTCGTCGGTTTAGGTGACATCTAAAGTGACATGGAAAATACAGCTCTTCCGGGATGGTGAGGTCTCTGTTGCAAGGCTCACCCTGGAGAACAGAAGCTGACCCTGTGGTGCTTCCCCACCTACTCTAAGCGAGATGGGTGCCCGGATGGAGCAAGGCTGAGGTCACTGACATGGACAGCTGCACAGTCTGGAAGATTCCCACAGCCTTGGGGAAGAAGGTTCCATCCCAGCAGGGCTCAGAAGAAGTGACTGTCGCCTCAACTGGGCAGTATGACCTGCATAGCTTCAGGCCTGACCTCTTGTAGAGTTTCAAGAATAAGAACCACAAGAGCTGTCCCATTATGTAATCACCACTGAATAATCTCCTCACCCCAGAGCGGCTTGCGTTAACACATCCATTTGTTATAAGGATGTGGATTATTTTCTGAAGTGCAGATGGGACCAGGACGAGGCTCAATTAGCAATTTTAACTAATCCTCATGTCTCTTAAAGCAGAAATACAGCCCACTGCGAAGACTTCTCCAGGGATTTCTTCTAACTTTAAATTTTCTCTCAACTGGGATGGACTTCGAGAACACTTCAGAAATACTACAAATCACACAGTTGTGGTAAAAATCGCTCTGTGGTTATTAGATCCTCTTTGTGAACCAAAAAACCAAAAAAACAAAGAAAACGTGGCTCAGGCTAAGCTAAGTTTTAAAAAAAAGATCAGCTGGGGAAACCAACGAAGACATTAATGCAGCACTCACTAGATGGAACTGACAAGCCCGTAAAATGACAAGTACAACGTGTGAAATGCACAGCCGGGTCCGGCAGAAGACCGATTACTCCTCTGGTTAACAAGGTTAGGGTGAGCCTCCAAGGAGCACTGGATGTAGAGAAGCAAAAGGGGAAGAAGGAGGAACAGCAGCCCTGTGTGGAGCTTTTGTTTTCTTTACAAAACAAGAGGTGATTTTTTTTTTTTCTTTTAAGCAAGTCTAAGAGACTGACTCCTAACATCAAAACCGAAAATATCTGTCAAGAAGGAACCTGACCGGGTAGCAACACGTTTACAAAACTGCTGCAAAAGCTGCTGAAGGGCAGTGACCCACTCTGCTCCCCAGAGGCTGCGAGAAGCGAAGCCTCAGGTGCCTCACAGCTCCACAGCACCACTCAGCATGATGCAGAGGGCGGAAATCCTGCAGCGAAGCCACCTCCTAGGCCTTCCGCAGCCTCAAGGCGGGTGATACAGTCCCACACTCTTTGATCCCACCAGATGGCCTCAGCTCAGACTCAGCAGTGAGGGAGCCCTCTCCCCGCAGGGCAGATGGGGCCGCAGACACTTGTAAAAACAAAACATGGTCAACTCGTTAACTTTTCCATCGTGCTATGTTTGCTATGGGCAAAATCAAGACTCCTCTGTTTCATGGGCTGCGCCATTCTGGGAGGCTACAAAAAAATCTAATACAGCTGACTCCCGGTAGCCTTTCTCTCTCTCTCTCTCTCACACACACACACACACACACACAGTCCTGGTCCAAAAAGATGGCATAACCTCACTGATGTTCCCCCAATGGCTGCAAATCTGTAAACTAAAAACAAAGTTTTATTTAAAAATATCCAATGCTATCTTTCTCTATCCTGAGCATGGAAGACTGTGATGGATGCTCCAGTAATAACCCGAATCTAGGACATGCAAATTCACTGTGAGAAAGAGACTTTATTAACCTGCCCTGTACACAACAACTGGTTTCTGTCAAGTCTGAATCAGGTGAATACTTGTAGAATTCATGGCAAATCAGCGTCAAAGAAAGATTCTGCAAGTAGGATTTCTGTGCTTCCTTTTGCCTCTCCTTGATTTCTCTGGGGAGGTACAAAGGCTATTGCACCCAGGGGTCTAAGTAATCTATCACAAAAGGGCTATGACCACACACCAGGAAAGACAGCCATGTTGTTAAGGGTGCCAGGGAGGAAAAAACCACCAATCCCTGCTCATCAGAATCCCAGTGCAACAGAAAATAGCACCAGTTTCAACAATTCTGGTTGGACAAAGCCTCTTTTTGTCAGTTAAGAAAGCATCAGCACAATTTCCTCAGTTAACTGAATTAATAGGATCCATTCATGTCACTGAAAGATGCTTCTTGGCACAGTTCACTTTCCTGACCCAAAGACGCCAACATCAATCCCAAGTGGACCCGGTAGGGTAACATGTTGTGACACCAGCCCAGTAAAAGCATCCTTAGACAATTTAAAAAAAATGCACCAATCACTATGAACGCTGCAGTTTCCTTTTCAGGGGTACTGACTGTTTTCCTGCGAAGTACTTTCAATCCATATCACAAAGGTAGAATTTAGTTGGAAGAATGTGTTTTTGGATTCCACTCAGTGCTTAGTTGAATTTAATTCATTTTCTCCTTTATTTCTTTGGACAGAAACTTACAATGCTCTCAATCAGGCAACAAACAGCAATATGTTCGTTTCTGAGTAGGACATGTGAACAGCGAGTTGGTATTTAGACTCAAATCCCATGGTACTGTTTCTATCCACTGGGACCCTTACTTGGGGACATCCCTATCCCAGAGGTAGGACAGCATCCTAAGGAAACTGTGGGCACTACTTGTTGGATCGGTGCCTCAAGACTGGGAGAAGATGCAAACTGAGAACAGACGGCAAAGTTTAAAGCTCACCGAAAGATGTCCCCCAAAATGTGGAACACTGAATGACACAGGCCTACTGGATACATACATCTCTTTTAGTGGGAGGGAAGAGCAAAACTTTTCAACGTTTGAGTGTTTATTAGAAGTTTTAAATAAAGAGAACTACGATTTCAATTTCACATCTTGGCTACGTCTTGACAAAGGAGATGCCACTAAGAGGACAGCAACGAACTCCTGTCCTGCACCAGGGATTGATCAGTGTCCCCACTCCCAGGCCCACCCCTCGATCTCAAGACCCTTTTCTGTAAACCTCCCAACCGAACAACACAACTGGCAAATGAAGCCAGCATGAAACCTGTATCAGAGACCAACGCGACAGCTGCACTGAGCCAACGCGTTATGTAGCTGTTCTAGTAAATGACGGAGCATTCTCCCACACGATTTCTCAGCAGAAGGTGGACCTTCTGCATCCCAGTGGGAGACAAATTTAACATTTCTGTGCATGCTCCATGGTGCAATTCCAAATGCTGTAACATCACAAAGATAAGCCAACACCTGAATTTTCCTCCCGTGTTACTTTTCAGGAACTTAACATGGTTACCCAGGATGGGGACGGGACCGAACCCTGGCGCTTGCCAAGTACAGCTGGATGCTTCAGCACAAGGACAGTATATCCCATTCGGCATGGTGTAAGGCATGTATGCACAAGGAGAGAGGCCACTGTTGGCAATAAGTAGCATTATGGAAAAAATTCCAACCAGCAGGATAGAAACAAAGCTCGATGCTCCAGTTTTTGCGAGAGTAATCCCAAGAATCCAGTTCAAATCCCTATTGTCAACATGTAGGGAGGAATTCAATTTCTACCATTGTTTCTCCAGGTCTGAGCTGAGGCCATTTGCTCCTGACTCGGTAATAAAAAAGAAAATAGGTTTCTTCCTGTTTCTTTCTTGGCATGGAAACACAGCTTTGAGAAGAGAAGGCCATGAGTCCTGGGAGCACTAGGAAGGCAGCTAAACTCTCCGTACCCTATAGAACTACAGTCAGTGACTGGGGAAAGGGGAGCGGACAGGGAAACTTACCTAGCCACTAGCATCAAAAACAAAAAGGTAAATTAACTCCGAGGCTCTCCATTCCAGAAACACCCCGAATTTAAAAAACAAGACCAAACCTTGAAAAATTAAACGGTTAAATTCCTCTTCTAAAAGTCATTTATTTACATATTATATGCCCAGTATATAATGTGTAGATAAATGTATCCTGCAGCGGAAGTGACCAACCTACTGGACTGAACAGCGCAGTACAGGACAAATTCTTGAAAGGTGTCATCTCATATTGGTATCTTTTTAATAAAAAAAAAATTAAAAATCAAAGAAAAATGTCTGGCCAGGGCTGGGATGAGACAAACAGGAACACTTCAGAATCCAAGGCAGAGGGAAGGCTGTTTGTCTCCTTAGACAATTGTGGGGGTGTGAAAAGGGAGGGACCGATCATGCACCAAAGTACTTACAAATTACATGCCCATCCCCCCGCCCCCCTCCATAAAAAGAGAAGAAAAAGCCCATCACTTAACACCAAACAGCAACATCATCAATAAACCCTTTCTCTGCCGCCCATCATGTCTTATTGAAGAGGAGGCCTGTGAGGAGAGGTGAAAAGAGCAGGGGAGGGGAGATCTGCACTTCAGTCTAGTTTCCAATTTCCATTCCTCTTACACGAAGCCTTCAGTCATCTGATGCCTGGCATCGAGCTCTGAGCAGAAACCGAGTACGTGGTGGCCACGACCGGGGTGCCGTTGTTGGCTGAGTAGCCTTGCCTCAACGTTTCAAAATACGATGCCTGCACCGGTTTGTGATACTGAAGCACTTTTATGGCATCTTCTATTTTAAACCATTCCCTCTTCCTTCCTGTGGAGGCAGAGAGAGAAAAAAAAAAATCAGCACAAAAGGGAAGCGACAAAAAGTTTCTGATCTTATAACTCTGGAGAAAATGCAGATGAAAACAGGAAAGCCAATGGTTATCAACACTTTAAGACGATGCGTTACAGAGCTAGTTTTCCTTACTCTCTTTTCTTACAAGAACAACGCAAGCCCGCTTCTATGCCTCCAACACTACGGGTGTCAGATGCAGGAAAGAGACCATGTGCAATGCTGACATCTGAAGAGTGAGGGGCTAACGGTACACCGCGCCCTCCAGAGAGAGCTGCTGCTCGTGGTCTCTTCCTGCATTGCTGGGCCTCTGGGCCTTGCTCGGCCTGCACGTACACTCCGGAGGCGCAGCCAGCATCCCCACCTCCTGCAAAACTCAACATGAGCGTCAGCTTCCAGAATTATTAGGATGGCTGCTTGTCATCAATCAGATGTTCATTTAAAATTTGCGTTTAAGAGTTATGTATTAACATATTACAAAGTATTTTTAAGAAAAGAACACCATCACTATTAACCTTTCAGTCTGTTATCTTATCTCCCCCCCCCGCCCCAATTCGTGTTTTAAAATCCTTTATTTTTTCTCTCACAGTAAAAGAGGATTGCTTAAAATTGGAAAATGGAAGAAAGTATGAAGAATATGGAAATTACCCGTTAACATTATAAACCAGAAAGGACTACTCTAAATATTTTAGTGCCTTTTGCTTTTCCTTCATCGAACTGGAAGAAGGCACTGCGCTTGACAGCTGTAACTGGGATCATGCTTTTAAGATGCCCCGAATCCCGAGAAGCTCTAGTAAGAGTGCTGTGGTTGGACACATGGCTGCTGGAGCGAATCTGCTGGGCTCCCATCGCATCACTGGCTCTCATGAACTGTCAGTTTGGCATAAGTGGCTGCACTAGGTACTGAGCTGTGCCCCACTTTCCTCATCTGTAGGGACAGTGCACCTATCTCACAAGTCTGCTGTGAGGATTAATATGTAAGCCGTCTGAACGAGACCTGGCACACAGCACATGCTGTTAAGAGCTTGCTTATGATCAGTATTGTTATTACTTCTTTTTTTACTTCACGCCGTTTCTGGAGCGCTCTTCTAGGTTATGCCAAACGTGACATTTAATGGCTGCACTACATCCTAACATCCAACATGGACGTGCTGCCATTCACGCAACCGCATCCCCATCACTGGACATCAACAGTCTGCGATTTTAGTTGTTATAAATCATGCTACAATTAAAAAAAAAAACACTTTATCTGTTTTTCTTTTAACCTCCCAGGGGAAGATGCCTAGAACTGAGATGAATAAAACATTTGGGCTCCGAAGACCTTGTGACCTGTAATGCCAAACTGCTTTCCAGAAAGACCATCCCGAGCCCCAGGGCTGCCTGTGTGTGCTGGGATGCCGTTCTCACCCACCCCGCCAGCACTGCTACCTTGTCTTTCGTCACTGCCAATTCTGTAGGTCAAAGCCAGTCCCTCGTTTTTGTTTTCATTTCAAATTCCTATTTAAAGTAGCTCTAAGTCATGTGTGTATCGGTCGGTACCCTGCTTTCCTCACTCACCAACACCAATTCATAAGCACCTCCCCGTGGTACGCTAGCTTTCGTAAGTCTGCGTTTAACAGCTGCGTGACAGTCCATCAGACGAGTGTGCCTTAGCTCACTTATCCTTCACGGAGGTGTCCGTTTAAGACCCAATTTCCACCTGGAAAAGGCTCACTGGAAGGAAGGCTTGCAGATTTAGCCTCCATTATTTTAGATTATTTCATTATTTCAGTTCTCAGAAGTAGTACAAGGTGAAAGGCTTGTTGGATATTAATAGAGCAATGGTACCTTGAAAATTCCTCTCACAAGTGTGTGACTCCCGCCTGACAGAGTGCTCTGAGGACAGGGCCACACCACACTCATCTCTGTCTCCTTTTAAAGCCCTAGCACTGGCTGTCAAGGAGTCTATTTTTAATAACCCCCCACTGAATTTATTTACTTAAGCATACTGCATCCTTACCAGATACGAAGCCGTTAAAAGCTGAAGGGCTGTGAGATGCCCCGATCAGCAGTGTGAGGGCCATGGTGGCAAAGCGCATACACACAATAAAGGGAGAGGTTCTAGCAAGTGAATTTTATCCGTTTGCCGATTATAACAGACGTTGTTAAATTAATATTACACTTTTCTAGAATATACTTTCCTTTAGAGGCAAAAGATTAAACCATGAACCAACCATTAGATCACCTATGTTTTTAGTTCAAAAGATACACATCCAATAGTGATTTGAGAGATCAAAGAAAACGGCTCCTTAGGAGAAAGGCAGGGGCACCCAAAGGGTAATAGGAGTAACACTGGAAACTACTCCCAAGACTCCGTGTCTATTAAATGACTCTGGAGGGAGAGGCTCACCCTGCCAAACCAACAGCTTTCCCCAACCATGTGAACAAGCATCATCATAAGGAACAACCGAGGGTCTGCTCTCAGCGGGGTTTCGTGGCCAGCATTGTGGAGGAGGGTCGGTACCTGCTGAGGAGGGTCTGATTCGACTTTAGAAACAGTCTTTTCTTATTTTTACGTGCTATGTTTCTATTTGTGGACCACGTACCCAACTTCAACTTCCTTTTAAACACTTCAAAATACTAACTTTCACAAGTTCAAAATGGACATGTTTGTGTCATTAAACGTATCCTTCTATTATTTCTTTTATCAGGCTCGCTTCTGGCTCTGGGTGATGACCTGTGGGCCAGGGCCCATTGTGGGGAGCATTTTGGAGGCTATCTGGGGACAACTTACCAATGTTAACTGAATCTTCCCAGTCTTCCAGCACTTCTGTGACAACGAGCACATAGACATACGTTCTGTGCTTCCTCTCCTGGTTCTGAAGGGCAAAGAGAGAAGGACAGAGAAACAGCTTTCCCTTAGAGAGCTGAGATTACTTAAGTGAAACACACTCTTAGCCATATGTCCAGAGCACAGATACAAGGATTCCTTTCACTTTTAATTGTCCTACAATCAATCATACAGGGAATGGTGCCAGATGGCCTATTTAGAACAGGCCACCCTTGCATTTAAGGTTGTGCTCTTTGGCTGGGCTTCTAAAGCCGAGGCTTTAATCTCTTTTTTCTTTCCCTTTCCCCTCAGTACAACCTCACAGGAATGCTGTGAGAATGAAGTTTGTGATCTCTCATGCAAAAGGCACCAAGTAAATTTAACTCGCTGAAACACAAGGAGAAGAGGCTGCGGGTGGCGGGGGTTCTATCAGTACAAGCGAGCTCTGACGTCACGCATCTCCCCTTCTGCTAACCTTGCTCATCTCTATTCCCAATTTCTCACTTGCTTCCGCCTCCCTCCAAACCTCTACCCCGGCCTATTTCCTTGTTTCTTCCACCTCTGCGATAGTGACTTGGATCTTCTTTTTCCTCCTGTCTTCTCTACACTTATCTGCCCTCCTCACACCCTGAGAGAAGAGGAAGAGAGGTAGGGACGGGATAAGTAATCCGGGCATACCTTCTTTCATTGTGCTTCACAGCGACTGCTTTTTTACGACTCGAACGTCTACAGCAATGCTGCATGGAGCAAGCCCATAGGTGCCATTCTTCTAACAGTGCTTGCTCACTTCGTGTCTATCCTTTTGGTAAGTCTCACAGTGTTTCAGACTTTTTATTATTATTATATTTGCTATGGTGATCTGTGATCAATAATTTTTGATGTTACTATTGTAATTGTTTTGGGTGCCACAAACGACACTCCTGTAAGACAGTGAACTTAACTGACAAATGTGTGTGCTCTGACTGCTCCACTGACCGGCCATTCCTGTCCCTCCCTGTCATCCTCCCTCTCTTTGGGTCTCCCTATTTGCTGAGACACAACAAAATTAAGATTAGGCCAATCAATAACCCCACAGTGGCCTCTAAATGTTCAAGGGAAAGAAAGAATTGTGTCTCTTACTCTCACTTTAAATCAGAAGCTAGAAATGATTAAGCTCAGTGAGGAAGGCATGTGGAAAGCCAAAAAAGGCTGAAAGCTAGGCCACTTGTACAAGTTGGCCAACTTGTGAATGCAAAGGAAAAGTTCTTGAAGGAAATCAAAAGTGTTACTCCAGTGAACACAAACATGACAAGAAAGCCAAACAGCCTTATTGTCGATATGGGGAAAGTTGGAGTGGTCTGGATAGAAGATCAAAGAAGCCGTAACATTCCTGGAAGCTGAAGCCTATTCCAGAGCAAGGCCCTAACTCTCGATTCTATGAAGGCTGAGAG